CTTTGCTTTGTGCCTAATTTTAAAACTCCACCAAACCGAAGCAGCCGTCCACAGCACTGCTTTATTTTTAAACTCACTCATATGCACTGGACTCCCTTGCAATCAGAACCCAGTCCGCTCCAACATGCGAGATGTGGTCAGAATCTCACGAGAAGCCATTGAGATGTGAGTGCAGCAGCACAGTGCTACACGCTCCCTCCAAGACTTCTTCTGATGCTGCACTCCGCTCTGAGCAAAGCTGGGGTCCAACCATCGGAAACCAAACCAGCACTGCGGAGATGGTCAGAGACGGAGCCCAGTTCTGCCACCACCACCCTCTGCAGCATCTCCGGGGATATTTTAAGGGTTCATGTTTTAGCTTATGAGGCTGAGCAGCTGCGGTCAGCAAAGCGAAACGCGCTGCAGGCAGAGCAGGGCCGTGCGGTGGCAGGACGGCAGCAGAGCAGCTGCTCACAGCAAACATGGTCTGAATCCTGGGGGTCCAGTGCCTCTCTGCAGCCGTGCTGGGGCTGAGCATCCACGGCAGGAGGAGGGAGGACAGACCTATGCCTGCAAGGAGCCGGCAGCTGATCTCCACCAACGTGTGGATCCCACCTACCAGGGAGATTTGGGCAAGAAGCTGGTGTAGGTCTTCAAGCATCAAGCAGGACCGTGCAACGTTTGAAAACCTTTGCAAGAGCTATAATTAGTGAGCACTCAGACGCAGAAAAACAGTTCTGCGTGAGCCTGAGCGCTTCTGCAGCAATGGGCTGTGCAGCACTGACCGATCTCACGCAGCATGGCAGTGCAAAGGGACACAGGCTGCTCTGACCTCGCAGCAGGGAGCAGGTCGTGAATCCTCCCACCTTGCTTCACCAGCATTCAACTTATTCTCTAGCACCAAAAGCCAGCCCTCGCTCTGCTCCCAGAGGGCAGCCTGACCCCAGCTGCTTTCACAAATGCTCCCTGCGACCTGCTGCCCAAGCGACAGGTTTCCCTCCCCCCTCAACCAGCACGGCCACCCTGCTCTGCCCAAAGCCCCCTCTGGCAGCAGGGCTCAGCCACAGCCTCCCTGCACGCCTCTGCTCCTTCAGCCCCAAGGGATGCAACTTCCCCCCCCAACGGCATGTGCTGAGGATGCACATATGGCAGCCCCCCCTCCTTCCACCTAAGCCCGACCTCCTAACAAACTCCACACAGCACAATGCGACAGGCCTGGGAGTGCCAGAAGGCATCCAGGTGCTGCAGCCTGATGCTTCACACCCACAGCCAGGCAAATTTGCTGGGATTTCCGGGAAGTGTCTCTAGGGTGCCCCGTGCTGCACCCCCACTTTGGTGTGCGCTTGTTTGGAATGCGGGCCTGTCGGGGGGAGAGGGGAAGTTATTCTGGTGGTGGCCTATGAATAACATCCAGTGATTTATAGGAAGTATAATCCAATAATACAGTAAAATAAAACAGTGTGTCTGAGATGGGTTTGATTCCAGGAATTATAAAACAAATTATTAAAGAGAGAGAGAAAGAAAAAAGCCTCAGAGAGGCCAGATCGGAGTAAATTGGGCACAGATGGGCTGGGAGGGGGTTTCTCTCTCTCCCCTCACCGAGATGCCCCTGCCGCAAGCACGGCTTCAATTAGTCTTTGCAGAAACCAGAGTTTTATTTCCCCAAATTACAGAATTAAAAAAAAATTAAAATGCTTGGAGTGTTTGTGGTTGGGATAAAGGGATCCAAACTTTTCTGTTAGCTGATGGTGCAGATGGCTACCAAACTGTTAAAAGGGCCACCCCGTGAAGAGGCTGGAGCCCAGGAGAACCCAAACCCTTGGTAACCACCAACACCCTGCGATGCATTGGTGACTATGTGAGGCTGCTCCAGCAACGGGACATCCCAGCCACACAGAGCACCCATCTCTCTGCTTCCATCCCATGGGTGGGCTCTCCTTGTTCCACAGGCTACCAGCACCCTTGTCCCACCTTTGCCCGGCCATAAGGCAGCCAGGAGGTCAGAGGACCAGCCAGCTGCATGTCCCCATCACCAATAGGGAGGTTGGGCTCCCAGGGAGCAGTGTGTTGTCTGGTGCTGAATAGCAGGGGAATGCTTCATGTGGGAATTCTTTGGCTTCCTCTGGCAGAGAAAACAACAGCCCCAATCCATTTCCTGGGGTCTTCCCAGCGTTGCAAGGGCAGCTGCAACCAGCTCCTGCTCCGGCATGATGAGCAAAGCCCTGCTGCCAGCACCAGGCATAGGGCTGTACTCAGCTCTACCCCCCAAAAATGGTCAGATGGGCACAGGGCCATCTTTGCAAAGACAGATTTCAGAAAACAGTAGTTGCAGGAGGAGACACTATTGCAAACACTGCGATGCAGGGGCAAAGGAAAATGAGCGAAGAGCAAAGAGCAGCAGATAGAAACCACTCTGCACGAGCCACCAGCCTGCCATGCTGCTGAAGGACTTGGGACAAATTGAGCACAACTTGCAGTGAAACTGGGGGAAGCTGAGAGTAAGGAAATAGCACGGTGGGTGTCTGGCATCAGTCTGAGGAAGAAAGAGAAGAGGTATTTACTGAAGTGAGTTTGATTAGTAATACTTCTGTATTTTTTCAATACCCAAGTCAGAGATTAGAAATTTGTGTTAACTGGCAATGAATTAAAGTATGCAAAATTCTCCATGTCAAGACTGCCTGCAACACCACCCCACAAGTGCTAGCAGAACCCCCCAATCCCACCACCAGGGACTCATTAGACAACACAGGGGGGGCAAGCAAATAAGCCCTCAAGTTTCTCAGGAGCAGCTGCAGCCCCACAGAATGGAAATACATGGGAGGGGAGGGAGGGAGCATCTGCCCCAAGAGGTATCTGCCCCCGGACAGTGAGGAGAGGAGGCTCTCAGACAGACCTCCCTCACTGCCCCCAAACACACACATCTCCTGCTACTGACAGCTCGCAGCGAACGTCAGACAGAGCTGTGCCATGGGAAGGACACAGCAGCTCCGATCCCGGATTTGCAGGAGGATTGCAGTAGGAGGGGATCTCTAGAGGTCACTCGGTCCAACTGCAGGGTTAGATACAGCCCCATGGAGTTCACCCAGCCAAGCCCTGCCTCCAGCAAGCGCTGCTCCCAGCAGGGCTTCCTGGCAGTCAGGATGCACACAAGGCAGAACTGCTCCCTGCATCCCCTCTGCACCCAATTGCTGCCCATGCAGCTGCAGCCCGGCGAGGTGACTCATGTGCTGGGAAATGGAAACCCGCACCTTCCCAACAGCCCTTTGCCACATGCTCCAGTCTGCCCTCTGCCCACAGCATCCCACACAGCGGGGAAGGAGCCAACACCCTCACTGCTCCGTGCTGGGCAATTGGTAATAACTCAGCCAGCTTTCTCGCTTGCCTTTTAAACTCCAGGTTCTTTGCTTGCTTTTTTTTCCCCCCTTCCCCTTCTGCACCCAGCTCCCAGCACTTCTCAGTAACACTGCGTCGGCACTGAGCCCAGCACGGGCTCTGCCAGCACTCAGCACACGAGTGCTCAGAGACCACCGGAGTGTTTGTGCTGACAACAGAACTTGCTTTGCCAACAATATTCCTTGCAACGTTTTAGGGTCACCAGAGCGAGGAGCCCTCGGGGGCACAAAGCATCAGATGGCAGCCACAGTGCCATCCAACCCACAGCACTTCTCCAACACTGCCACCTGCTCCCTATATGGTCCACAGGTCCCGAGCAGGAGCAGGTTTGCTTTCTCCAGAGATAAGAGAGCTGGGAGCAGCTGGCAACTACTCGCATGGGAGACAGGAAACTCCAAGAAGACATATTTTGCACAGGAGATAAGAAGTGCTCCCTTTCTGTCACTCACTCACTCACATCCACAGCTCGGCTGCGGATGGAGGAGCACAGTCCAGTGGTCTGAGAGCTGGGATTGCTTCCAGCCTTGCCACGGGGGCTTCTACACAGCCCAGACAGATTTCTTCCTCTTTACCACCCGCTCCTGTCTGAGAGCACAGAAACAGCTATTAATATACCTACTGGGGGGCCGCACACAGGCACTGCTCATCACCAGAAAGTACTTTGCAGCTCAGACATAAACACATTGGTGCTGGTTGGCACCTAGCAGGAAGGAGGGCACGTCCTCGTCCTCGTTAGCAGGGCTGACGGCTCGCAGGGCTTCCCCAAGGGGAGGGATGGTGCCTGTGCAGCACACAGCACAGGGAGCCACGTGGTCCAGCCCACTTGGCCACCAAGCACCACAACTGACTCACAGGGGAGAAATCACCCAGGAGTAGCACAACGGGGCTCAGCCCTTCTGCTCACATGATGGCTTTGATTGAGGTCCATCTGTTTTTGGAAGCTAAATTTCAAGTCGTCAGTGTGCCACATGATGCTTCCCCTAACTAGGGAGTGTGACCCCTTTCCTGGTCCCAGAAATGTAGCCCAGGCTGACCCAGCTGCTGTGCCCACCGGAGCCCCTTGGAAGCACGATTTCAAACCCAGAGGCAAGGATTCTGCTTTGGTAGCATCCCTACTAAGTAACCCAACAATGACAGTGCCCACATTTTGGGCAGATGGAGGAGGATGAGTGACACAAGATCCTCCAGGTGCCTTAGCACAGGGCATAGCCTCCAGCAGAATCTCCCATGTCACGGCTCAGCCACCCACATAGACACAGACAACAACATTCTGCCCTCAGCCAGGCCCTTCCAAATCCTCCCAACCCTCACGGTGCCAATGTGGGCGCTGAGCAGGACCTGGGCGAAGCGTCGGGAGGGCAGAGCCGTAGAACACAGCTTTCTGTCCATGCCTGATGACTCAGGCTCCAGGGGGACGTGATGCCTCCTCACTCCACATCATTAAACACCTCACTGAGGCCTTCCAGCACAAGCCACGGCACTTCTGCCATCCCTGCACACACCGACACCTCCAGGCATCCAACCCTGTTGGACTTCAGCTGTGTATGTGCCCTCCACCCTTCTCCGTCCACAGCTCAAAGAAAGACGAGCGATCCCCAGCCCATTTCCCTTAAAGCAGCACATGGTACCTTTGGGCTGGGAGTTGTACACTGCAAACATGTTGATTGCCACGAGCTGGAGCATGCGGGTGCTTCCGATGGGAGGGGGGCTGTGCTGCAGCAGGACCTGGAACTCCCTCAGGACCTCCTCGGCCACCGCAGGGAACGTCTCCATCCTGCAGACAGAGAGAGATGCTGTAGAGCAGAACGCAGACTGTGCCCTGGGGAGGGTGGCACAGCTCCCTCCGTGTCACCTTGCCCAAGGACCAGGGACCCCCCACAAGGTGCTGAGGGGCTGCTGCCCATCCCAGAGCCACGGGGAATCGCTGCCTCTGGAGTGAAGGTGCAGGCGGTGCGAGGGAGACAGCCGAAGCCTTCCTCAGCGAGGGATTGCTCTGTAACCAACAGGCAGCATTCCTTTGGCAGGAAAACACGGCCTTTATGAGTCATTTCTGACCAACCATTTTTTTCTACTGACTTCTACCAAGCTGGGAGGGGTGCCAAGAGGCCAGCAGCTCGCTTGGACCAGGAGCAGCCCATGGGACTCCCAAGAAACACGGGCTGCAGCAAACGGCACACACTGGTGCCACATTGCGGATGTGGCAATTCCAAGTGTGTTGAACACGGGCCAAGAACATGCTGCCTCCAGAGAACAGTCTCTGTCCCAAGCTCCTGTGCTGGTGCTGCCCACTCCCAGCACAGTGAGAAAGCTGTCAGCTCTCACTATTTGGAGCCCTGCCTTGCCCAGGGGACAGGAACCTGCAGTCCTATGGTCCCGCTAGCTGCTATTGCTCATCAGACACAGCTGCAGTGCCACGCCGGGGACGAGGTGTGCTTTCAACACTGCTCACAAGCACCCGTGGAAAGCTGACACATTTATCCTGCTCTTCATCTGGCGTCACTCGGGGAATTAGCCGAGGTTACTTATAGAGCTGATGGATCCTCAGCAATTCCCCAGCTGAAGTATGGTCAGCAATGGAACCGACTGCAAAGCGCACAGTCAGTTCACAGAAACAGCGGTGACGTGGCTACCCACAACAGCCCTCCCAGGAGCCCTCACCTGGTATCCCCTGAAGGCATCTTTATATCAAGACGCTGCCAAAAAATTTGCAAACCGGTGGGGAAAATCAAAAATAGTTCTCCTATCCTGCTGCCTCCTCTGCTGAGTTTGCTCTGTTCCTTCTCGGTCCTGGACCAAGTCACAGCTGGACCCAGCAAGAATGAGCAGTGGTCTGCAGCAAGTGCCAGCTCCTTATCAGTGACAGTGTAACTCATGTGCCCACAATGGGAGGGAAGGAGCCAGAATGTGCAGTGGGTACAGCGTCGGGAGCCAGGGCACGCAACCTCAAGGGCCTCCAGAGCAATTTCCTCTATCTTCCCCCTGAGAGATTCAGATCTTGTGATATCAGCATGCTACAGACTGGATTAGCAAGCCACTTCTGGTAACCCACATGGGCAATTCTGCTGGGCTTCCCCAACAGACTTTCAGGACAGCAGTAGGGTCTATTTTTAAAGACAGAATTGCTTTCTGCTTAACCATATTTCACAGATGCCTTTCAACAACTGGTTCTACCTAGCAGCAGGGGTACCCTCTGCCTTGGCACTGTTTGCTGGAGCGATGCAAAGCCTCCATTACCTTCCCACAGACGTGGGCTGTAACAAACAAGCCCCTTGTACTCAGTAGCCCTGCAGAACGGAGCAGCTCTCCCAGCACAAAAGCATTGCTTCCTTTCAGAGAAGCAACTTTCCTGGTGCTGGGGCACAGCCAGGGACTGAGAGCAAAATGATTGCTTCTAAAGACTTCCTAATTTTGAGAAATCTCAGACCACATCCAACATATCCAGCAACATCCTCCTAGGGCAGACGGGCCGCTGGGGATGGAGGAGCCCTTTGTAGGATGGGTCATTAGCGAGGAGATGGAGATTATTGCCATGGAATAACAAGGAAGAATGAGGGCTTCCTCAGCCCCACCAGCTGTGCCTGGATACCGCAGCACATCTGGAATGGCATGCAGCAACCCCACTGAGTTCAGAACCAGCTGGTCAAGAAACCGAGCAGAAACTTTTAATAATATACTTACCTGTGGTTTTAGGAGCAAGATGGCTCAAAGTTAGCTCAACACCAACTTTTCCATACTTTTCACAGATAAATTTCTATAGATTCTGCCCAAAGAGAACTCAGCCATTCCTCACCTTTTACCTATTTTAAGCACGGAAGCTGCTTAGCAGGGCTGGACGCATTTCTCTTCCTGTGTCATGTTATTACTTTCTAGTTCCCTTCTAAGTACTTCAGGGGATCTTCTGCCATTAAACATACTTGGGTTTTCTAAATGACTGTCCTGGGAAGCAACCGCCTCTAACACTACATCTTAATTTCACAAAAGTCTCGGGAGCCAAATGTGCAAGCAATCACTGCAACATCCCCATTAATCCCCCTGCTGGCATGTGCTCAGCCCAGAGCTCGGCCACGAGCACAGCCTGGCAGAGCTGTGGACCAGCAGCTCCCTGGACATTCTGCCCTGAAGCACAGACATGATGCCATCACCAAACCTCACGTGGGGGTTCTGCTTCTGCTTCCATTGCTTTATGAAGGGTGCAAGGTCAAGCACGTGCCACACTAAAGAGCGCACTGCATGGAGCAAGAGCCGTGGCTTCAGGCTGCATCATGGCATCAGTGATCAGAAGAATGCTAGTGATGCATTCTTCTGCTTCCAAGGAAGGGAAGGTGACAGGCTCAGGGAACAGGCTGCCACTGGACAGCAGCTCCCTGCCACTGTGCTGTTTTGCCCCTGGGCTTTGTGCCCCACTGAGTGCTCCCAGAGCCACCACTCCGCTGGCTGGGAGTGGGGGAGGTGGGAGAGGAGGGGACAACACCAGAGATTAAAGTGGAGGGAGCACGGTTTGAAGGCAAGAAAGGGAGAAAAGAGCCTCTGGTCCCTACTGAGTACACATCAGCTGGCTGAGCCCAGCCTGTGCCAGAGGGTCCTGGTACACGAGGCCTTGAGATGGAGAAAGAAAACCCCAACACTAATCATCATGGACTGCAGGGCGGGTAGGGAGAATAGGAACCAGGAGGCTAGGCCTGCAAGAATTCACACCCTGTGCCCTCAGCTCCAAACACAGCTTAGTTGCTAACAATATTAAATTCCAAAAAGACTTGTAATGTAGGAAAATAAAATAAACATCCTGCACACTTACCCAATCCTGGTAAACAGCTTCCCATGGGCATGGAGAAAACTGAGGATGAACCTTTTGTTCAGCTGCATGGGAAAAAAAAAAAAAAAGAGAGAGAGAGAGGAGAAAACAATTAAACTCTTCCCGATTTCCTGTGAATTAAGAATGTCCCCAGTGACAGAAGAACCTGGCCTGGATGCCGGGGGTGGCACTGGAGATGGGAACCAAATGGACATGCCCAAACTCTTACAAACATCATGCACACAGTCGAGGGCAAGTGCCAAACAGCTGGATGCGAGCGGGGAGAGGGCGGTGGAGGCACAGCACCCTCTGCTGGGGTCGGGCTGATCGCTGCAGTCCCGGGCACCGCTCCGCTCCCCGAGCGGGACCCAGCGGAACGCAGCGCTTCCCACTGATGGGAAAAAGAAAAAGGAAAAACAGAAGCGATTTGGTTCAGCGCTCAGCGGTTGCCGCAGAGGCTGGAAGCAGCCTTTGGTCAAGGCGGGGAGGGAAATCCTCCTTAACGCTTTGCTGCGACGAGCTCAGCTGCAAAGTTTGGAGCTCGTTTGTGCCGTGCTGGTGCCACTTTCATAAGCACAGGGTTTTGGGGTGATGTGTTACCCTTTCATTTAAACCCAGCATAAGCAACTGCAAAGAGGGAGCCTGGGTTTGTCAGGAAAGCCCCTGCGAGGCTGCAACAGAGATGCTAGGCAGGGCTTGGCATTTCTCTGCAGTTCCTAGCAGAAGGCGGAGCAGTGTGGATGCAGAGCAAATTGTCTATAGCACTCTGTGTGATGGCAGCTTCCTGCCCAACTGAGGTCCAACAACACCAAAATCCAACTCCATTCGTTCTTTACTGCTGCTCCAGGCCACCTTTGCTAGCTCAGCAGCAAGCTGGGCTTTCCCCATCCTTATCTGAATAGCTCTGAAGAAGGCTGTGGGTGGCAGAGTCACTCTGTGTGACCTTGGAGGTGGCTGTGTCACCCAGGAGCAGCCTGGCCCCTCTCATACCTTCTCCCCAACAGGCAGCTTTCATCCAGCGCCTGCACAGCCTCACCACGATGAGAAAAGCCAGACCCTGAGCACAGCACGAGGAGACGCCGGTCCAGCACCGCCACTCCGCTCCTATTCACACATCAATTTTATACCCTGAATCCCTCTGCAAAGCTCAGCAGCATCCTTTCCATTTCCGAGGGGGTCAGAGAGACAGAGCGAAGGAGAGCTGGCAGGCAGGACAATGCTCAACCAAGTGGCACCGGGTAGAACACGAGGCAGCTGCCTTCTGCTTGCATCTGCTCAACTCCCCAGCTCCCATGGTTCTGTATGCAAGCAGCTTGGCAAGGTGCGACGGCTCGGTGAGGTGTAATTAACCCAGGCTGCACTCCCGGAGGACCCATGCAGGAGAATGATGCCCTGCTGCAGAGTCGCTCCTGGGCCATGTGCAAGTTTCAACATAAAACCTGTCTCATAAAACAAGCCAGACCAATTAAACTGGCCCCCGCAGCAAGGGGTTCTTGCTTACTCACTATTTTACTGCTGCCCTAAAGAGCCCTTTTCCACTGGAACCTGACTTTATTTGCCACCATTTTATTAACTCTGCAGATGAAACCCAAAGAGACTGGGGAATACTGGGACAGCTGAGCTAAGCCCTTATTCACTTTGCCAGCAACGTTAGGAGGGCTGTATTTCTACCATCCTCTTTAAGACACCAAGGCAGCTCAGAGCTTCAAAGGCGGCACACGCACGGAAAATAAGAAATAAGGACACCAGTCCTTCCCCTAGGCCCACATGCAGCCCACAGCCCTGGGAACAGTTGCTCTGCAATGTCAGCAGTGCTTTTGCATCAGCAGGGGAGAATCCAAACTCCCCACCTTGAATGGGAAGTGCCCCTGCACCCAGTGGGGACACGCACAGAGCGCTCACCCAGGGACAGAGCTGCAGCAGGACCAGAGGACCTGTGCTGAATCCATTGGAAGCTTCCAGCTCAGTCTTTTCATCACCAATCCCAAGGACAACACGGGAATCAGTGCTGAATTGGGACATGCATGTGTGCATACATAAACACAAGTTTTTTTTCTAAAGGAAGCAGGATGCACGCCTCTAGGAAAGAAGCGCATTTTATCCCTCTCGCCAACTTCAGCAAGCAGCAGCAAGCCCAGGCTGAGACCTGTGTGCCCCAGTGCTGTGGCACCTCATGCAGGCACCTCTCGTGCTTGTTTCATCACTTTTTCTCTCACAGCCTCAAGGTTTTGATGAGCTCATCACTTAACTTTGGACCTTTCATCTCCGAGTTCACGCCAGGGCCACGGGCTGCTTTGACTGGGCTTTTCTCCGAATGACTCTTTCCCTGGTGACTCACCTGCCCCTCGGTCTGCAGGAGCCCTCTCTGCTCCTCCTGTCAAATGCTGCTTCTCACGGCTGGAGGGAAACAGCGACTTCCACCGAGCAGCCCGCAGCAGGGAGGAGGAGGAGGAAGTCCCATCACACACTGTTCTGCATTTGCACAGAGGAGAGGAACACTTCCCCAAAGCCCCACTCACTGCCCCAAAGCTGTTAGCAAGAGACCTGCAACAATTCCATTGGATTCATCTGACTCACTGCGCAATTCAAGAGCGGGTCCCCCTCCAGGAGATTCCTCAGAATGGTCCTGGTGCCCATGCTGGGATGTAGGGCTCCCTACACACATCGCTGCTCTGCTCCTTGGGGCAGGTCCCAGTCGATTGCACGGGAAGAGCCCACCAAGTAATGCTGATGCATCAATAAAGTTACGTCAAAAAAAGAGACTTTGTCCCTTCCAGCTGAACAGCGGGCATCACCGATATGGAAGTTATGAGCATATAGTGAAGGCATTAGTTATAAAAACAAACCAGCTGTCAAGGAGAAGAAGGGGTCCCTGCACACAGTAGTGCCTGAAGCTGAAAACAGCTGTTTCGGCTGTCATGAGTCAGCATGTGCAGACAGACTAAATCCACCTGGGAAGAAGCAACCTCACCAGAGGAAGCAATCCACTGCTGCTCGGGGAGCATTCACACACCGCACCTCCAACCAAAGTGGATTTGTTGCCATGGAAGAAATCAACAGTGACTAACAACTCCACTCCAAGCACCTCAGTGCAGAGACAGCAACAGCCCTGAACAGCCAGCTCAAATCACAGCAGCCATGACAAGGATGTCCTAACAGCACACAGAACAGAGGCGGTCAGACAGCTGAGAGGAAGGTCTGGCGTGATTCGAGCCAGAAACGAAGAAAGCAAGACCCAACCTCAAGAGACTGTGCCATGATTATAAAGGGTTGAAAATGCCTCCCACCCTCGTGCAGAAACACAGGAAATGCCATCAGGGCGCACAGGAAAAGGAGTGCCACGAGGCGGGTCGAGAAGCAGAGCCACGGACCCATTTGGCTAGCTGCAGGGAGTGCACAGAGTTTGGCACCTGAGCATCAGCCCCAGCTGTGAAGGAGGCACCAAATAAGGGAAGGATTCTGGAGCAGCGACTCCTGGGGAAAAAAGTGTTTCAAGTTAAAAATTGTTACTTCAGGTTTGGAAGTAAATTTCAGGATCTGGTCTTTATCAAGCGAGGCAAACTTTCTTCAACATCAGCAAAGCATCTGTGGAGCAGAAAGCAGTGTCAGAGTCAAAATAGGCTGCAAAAGACAAGTCCATTAATCAAGAGACCAGATGCAAAACTGCCTGCAACGAACACGCTGCCTTCCACCAGAGTGGAAGGGGCTGGAGCACTGCGGGATGCTCCCCGAAGTCTGGGGTATCCTCAGTGATGAGGGGTTGGGACACAGACCACAGAGCCACACAGTTCAGCTCCAAAACACGTACCACACTCATCCCAAATATTTGCAGGGTTTCTTGGGCAGCCAGGCTTTTCCAGGCACAGCTGCTTTGCTGGGAATCCAGGCACATCAAGCATGCTGTACCTCCCTCCCAGCTCCAGGGCTGGATATCCCACATTGACTGTTATTGCTCCCTTACATATCCTTCAGCTAAACGCCAACCCAGCTCTTAGCCCATACTGCCCCTACCCTGCAAGGTCCAGCTCTGGATGCTGCTCCCCATGGCAGTATCTCAGTGCAGCAGCACCGAGCACAGATTGCTTCTTGAAACCAAGGATGCTGCATAATTCCTCTTCACGTACCACCTGCAAGTGTATATGGATACAGAGCTTCACTTGGCTTCTCCTGGCCACACGTTCTAGTGCAGGTATCTGTTTAGCAGCACAATGTCCTGCCCTGAATTGGATTCATTTTTGTAGCAATAGAAGCAACTCCAATGAGAGTCCCCATACCTAAACATGAGAGACCGCATGAATGAAAATCCAATTTACTATGACGTGGAAAAAAGAGGGAAGCCTGATGTATCACGGCCTTGAGGCACAGAAAACTCATTCACAGGTAAAGAAAATTTGATACACTCCTGCAGCCTTCCTGATCTTTTGGGCTGCAGCAGCTGTGGCTCCAAGACGCATCTCTTGGCTTTACGATTTACAAGGCAGCATCCCAGCAAGAGAAAAAGCAGCAGCAAGGAAGCCCTTCAGCACAGCCGACGAGCTTTTGATTTATTCCTCTTCATCGCTGCAGGAAGCAGGTGAGATGAGGAACATAAGCAAGAAAATGGTGCGTGTTAGCAATGCAAAATCGAGCAGCGGTGAGTTCGCTGTCTCTGAAACAAATACCTGGCCTACAAGGACGTTTGATATGATTTAATCATGAAGCCACTAGTAGCACATTCAATTTACAGAAAACAGGTCAGCTAGAGTGTTTTTACGCATGTGATTTCGTTTTCAACCAGACCTGTACCTAAGCTGCTTGTAGAGCATTTAAATCAGCAACGTGCAACATTCTCAAATAAAAAAATAGACTAAAACCAGCACATGGTGATTAAATAAGTTAAAACCTGATTGAATTAACATCTTCAAAAGTAGCAACCCTCACTAAACTGGATGGAAATAGGTAAGCAGAGGCTTTCTATCAGTGTTGCTGTCAATGAACTGAAAGAAAATCCGGTTGCCCCTGCCTATGGTACAAAGGGAACAATAAGCACTGATGGTTACAGTCACATCAAGTTATTACAATTGTT